GACAATTAACTAAGTGGCAATCCGAACTTTTAGCTAATTTGGCTTGGCGTCTGCCTGACCCCAAAAATCGGCGACAAATTGTTTTATTTATTTCGTTTGGTCAGCGACGGCGCCAAAAATCCGCTGGTGTTGCACTCCAGATTTTTGCGCTGCAATAACACTTTTTTCGCCCTCTTTTTTACCCTCGACTGCTGGCTGATGTTTGCTCGTTGGTGTTTTGTTTTATTATCTATTAGCAGGTCAATTTATGATTACGGCAGCCACCGCTGCCTGGGGGTTATTAAAGTCGATGTCGCTTATCTGCTCCTACCATAATGCTAAATATGCTGGGTCCTTAAACATTACGCAGTGTTGCACTTAAATTTCACACTTAAATAAACAACTTCCAGGCTGCTGCCGTCGGTTGTTGCTGCTGTTCGTTGGCTGTTGACTGTTGGGGCTTGCACTTGGCCAGGTCCGGGTGCTTGGCCTACTTGGGCGCCCACAAACTGCTAACTGGCGAAAAGCCCAGCGAGGCGAGGGAGCACGACGGCAGCAGGAATAACTCCTGAGTGAAACACGCACACAAACACGCATAAATTGAACAATACCCTGGCCCCGGGTCCTGGCCTCTCAGCATCCCCATCCCCTGCGTCCTTATCCCTGCACTGCAAATAAAAAAAAAACATTAATTGGTTGCATAATCATTTTACTTCTTGAAAGACTAGTTTATATAAAAGTATTCTAAATAAATAATTGTAGAAATAAAGGTTAACGTGTTAGTTAAAATCTATACCGCTAAAATCAAATCCAGTCCTAATAAAAAAATGCAAATGAAATATGCATATCTATATAGAGACACCCATTTCTTAAAATAAAAAAAAAAACAATATTATTAACATTTTTAAGTTCCAAACAACATTGAAAACATAAACATAAATCATTTATAGTATTAGATGATTTTCTCATTTTGATTTGATTGATTGTCAATAACCTGTGCACATTTTGAGGTATGAATGGTTAACAGGTATTGTTGTTGTTGTTGTGGAACATTTATTTAATAGTTTTACTTGGCTTTCTTACCAATAGTAAAACATAACAGTGTAGTTCCATGACACGGCACAGAATGCGCCACATATTATGGCCCAGTAGAATATGGAGCGGGGGTTTTCTGGGCGAGGTGATGCTGTGGTGTTAGCGGTGCGGCCGGCGGTGTCCGGGGCGTCGGAGTGTTGGAGGGGCGGAAGGGGGGATTGCTTAAAGTGCTTTTACTGCGCTTAATTCGCATAATTAATTTTGTTAGTAAACTTCGGGGGCTAATACATATTTTGCCACCGTTGATGTTCATGTTGCGTTGTTGTTACCGGGGACGTTGTTGCCATTGTTGTTGCTGCCTATTTCGCGGCAAACACCCAACTCACGCAGCTGCTGTTTATGTGTGCTGTATGTGTGCGACCGTCTATGCACGTGTGTGTGCGTGCCTGCTTTTTCCGTTTATGTTTATTCATTGAATTTATGACATTATCGTTGCCTACTTTGCGGCGCCCAGCTATCGTACATTCATGTATGCATGTTTACAGTTGACGTAAAAACAACAGCACTTTTTAAGAATACAATAAAAAATAGTTTAATTGCAATTTTAGATAATATTCAAGAATAAACCATTAGCCGATTTATAATAATAATTAATTTATTTAAATAAAATTTATTAGTTTTCTGACATTAGAAGATTACCATCTGGATATCTTATTAAAGATTTATTTGTAAGAAAAATAAGTAAGTAAGAGACTTTATACCTAACAAACAAATGTTAATAGATTTAAACATTTTTTAATGATGAAAACAAATGTATTTCTAAATGAATACCGCCATTATTTTCTTGACCTCAAGTGTATAAGCTTATGTTAGTGTGGTTGTACTTATCCGCGTGCATTTGTGTGCATGTGCTGAGCCTGCAGGCCAGGTAATTGCACTTGTGTTTTGCAATCACAGCCTTGCCTAGTTTGCCAGGCACTTTATGTTCAATACGCTGCCAGGCATAGATGCATGTGTACAGTAAGCATCCGATAAAACAGCACAGCATAGAACTACAAAAAACGTAGTAAATAACAATCAAGTTAAAAAGAAATGGTTGTTTTTTTAAAAAGGTTTTATCAATTTTAATTTTAAATTAAAAATATAAGAACGTTTTTGTAGTGCTTCTAAAATTTTAAGTTTTATTTGATCCTACTATAAATACATATATTTTACAAGAATTATATATATATATTCACAAGAAAAAAAGTTTAATCATTTGTTTTTATTGCATCTCCACTGTAATTGCATGCTGTTTTTGCATCTTGCAGCTTAATGGCGGCTGGCAAGCGTTTATTTACTTTATTATTGCATATTTGCATGCAGGACCGAATGTGCATGGTTTATTAGAGTGTGTGCGTGTGGCGGGACACTTTGAAATGGTCTGCTAACTGCCACTGCATCGCAGCGGTTGTCCTGGGTGTAGGAATGTGTGCCGATTGGAAACTGCAACCGCAGATTCTTGACTGCAGCTTGCGATTTGACGTTCACCTGCTGCTGCTAATGCCACGCCATAACCAGCAGCCTCCGAAAGCTCCCCTCCTGCCACACTTGACCTCTGACCCCTCGACCGCCGGGCATCTTGCGGCTAAAACAGTGGCCAAACAGTGCGATCCGCTGATTGGGCAGGCCTTTGTAATTACCAACGCCATTTACGGTTCCACTGCCAAATCGACTAAAATACCGATGGACTGTAAACGTGTGAGCCTGTGTTAGCTAATGGCTTCGCCTGAGGTTAAACCATTTTCTGAATCCCTTATTCTATTTGAAGTTACTTCATTTGATTAAATAGATAAAAAAAAGATAAACAATTAATAAAATAATTAATTTCGAGAACCCTTGAAAAATATTGCAATTATCCTAACCAAAACATGGAAAACAAAACTCATTAAATTATTTATACTTGTAAACCGAAATAACTTCTCACAACAAATACAAAAGCTATTAACACTCTCACTTTGTCATTGAGACTATAGCTCTACTTTAATAGACCAGAACAAATTACTAAACAAAGCATTTAGCGGCTTAATTAATATGCACGCAGGGAAAATGCGTTTTAATTATTCATCGAGCCGAAACAAAACTCGATAGCCAAAACACAACATAATTAGCGCATAAATTAGTTGCCCCACGCAGTATTAAATTGCAAATCGAAGGGTGGCTTTAAATTATAGCATACTTTTGGGTCAGCTTGTTTGGTAGCGAAACTGCACTTAATACAACTTAATTTTACGGCACCGTTGGTCCTAATTAATCAGATTTCCAGTGCTTAATGTTCGTTTAAATAGCAAAAACTAGGTCTACTGGCAAGAATCATCCATTGCGTATACTTAATGCGGCGGACTTTAAGCGTATTAAACGATATACGCTTTCATTTAGTTATTTAAATGTCGCCTTCGCTGGCCAGCACCCACACAAGTTATTTTAATTAAACGCATTATTTTCGCATTTTCGGTATTTGCCACTGCCGCTTTATTTGTTTCCACTTATTAAATACTTTTCAAAATGGTCTCCAACGTCGCCAGAAAGTCCGCCGACCATGGCAGCCTGTGGCGGCTGTATTTAATAATAAAGCAGCCAAATCCGCAAATAAAGTGTAAATGATAAAAATGTTATTGAGAGAAAAGGCGAGCAAAAGCAGCGCAAAAAAAATAATTCAACAGATAAAAAAGAGAGGCCAACAAAATCCCCGGAACTGTGAAATGACCTCAGCTTGGCACATTTTTAATTAAACTCCATTAAAATATATGGCAAGCGAGTTCAATATATACCTACCATATATTTTATATTGAATTTTAGTGGCGAAGCACGTACTTTTAATTAATATACCCCAAGTGACAGTTGCAACGCACTGGCGAAAAACAAATTATAACAAAACATGATTAAAGTGTTGCTCAACGAATACATTCCAACGCATTGAATACTCTTAGTTAGATACTATAAACGAAGAATTAATTATTTATTCTTTTTTTCCTTAAACACATTTATATTGGTTGTCTTATTTATAAGCTGGTTTTTTCTTGGATTAATTTCTTTGAATTAGAAAAGGAATATTATTATTGATCATAATTTATTAAGAAGCGAAGACACTTTTGAATTATCTTGCTAAAAAGTGTGCACCAATAAAAATGTATAGAAGACGGTGTGCACAAAATCTTTAAAGGTACGTATGTCATCTGGGATTAATACGCTTAATCGGGCGATTATCCACATCAAGAGGCGTGCCAGGGAAAGACCAGGAGCACCTCCTCCCGGGTTTCGAACAGTTCCCAGCTCGCTGCGCATAAATTAGTCGCAATGACCAGGAAACTTCCAAGTGGCTGGTCAAGTCAAGATTCTACTAATTGCCATTTTACTGTCACATTTGCTCGGGGGATTTACATGTGCATACAATTCACATTATCGTTGCAACTTGGCCGGCTAAGCCTGTCCCGGGAACTGGCCAGGGCCACGCCCCATCAGCACTCTCGAGCGGTTCGTGTGCATTTTATTAATAATTATCCTTTGGACCCTGACTGTGGGCTTATGCAAATTAGCGAAGGGGCATTAAGTGCAGTTAACTTCAGCTCGAACCGGCAACCATTTGCCGAATTTTGAGTGGGAAACGGGGAAAGCCAGCTTGCTCTCAACTTTACTTCCGGCATAAATTTGTGGAAAAGTGAAATGAATTGCATGTTCTACGAACAGAAAAGTTGCAAACACTTTAGATAGATGAGAGCAAAGTTTAAAGGGAAAGTTAAGAATGCTTAATGAATGTATTCGATAATTGCCTAATTTAGTTTTTACATTATTAATTATTTTTCAGAGAAAGAGCTTTAAGAAAAATGTTAAGAAATGCCAGGAATTTCAGAAATGCTTAATAAGTACTTCATGGGTCTTAAAAACTATTTGATATCCTTGAATAAATAATATATAAAGAATTAAAATAATGAATAAAACAGATTAAGTTGGTGATACATTTTAAATATTTATTAAGAATCTAATTACTTCTTAGTTATTAGACGTACATCTTAACCGTTCAGCTAAGCATTACAGTTAGCTAATTTGTTCGGAATAAAAATCACTAGGGATTCGAAATTCGCAAGCAGCCGTAAGATATGCCATACTTTATGGGAGCGCAGAAGCTGACTTGCTGAACCGGAGGCAAGTAAATTAACACTAATTACAACATAATAACTATAAAATCGCAGAGACAAGTGCTCGGCAGACTCAACAGCTCATTGCCGGGCACTTGCCACTCAACGCTACGGCCGTGGAGCCGGGCCAAGTTCCTGGCCCGGGCCAGCAACTGAACTGAAGCTAAACTGAACTGGTGGCCGCCTGCAGCGCCGGAGAAAGGCAAGCAAAACAAAGTGCAAAACATGATTAAGAGTGAAATATTTATTTGCAGCACTTGGAGGCGCGCCACGGCAGCGCCAACAATTAGAAGCTAGCTACGAGAACCAGTCCAGAGTGTACGGGAGTACGGGCGCAGCGACTCCCCGCACCGACATGGCTTAAACATGTAAATGGCTGCGAGGAGCAGCCCATGATTTAATGGCTTTCACTGCGAGCGCGCCCAGAAAATAGCTTGGCGGCAACAAGTGCACGGGCCCTAATGCTTAGTTTAATTGTATTACGAGTAGGTTGGGTACTATAAAGTCGGTGTGTATATGCTAAAATGCTTTAAACGCTAAATGCGAACTAATGCCTAGTATTCCTCCTCTTCGTCAAAACCATAGCCGAACTCATCGTCGTCCCCGCCCGTGTTGAGCATGTCTTGAAGAGTGGCCTCCGGTTCTGCCTCAGGTTCGGCTTCAGCCTCTTCAACTTCCGCCTCAACACCTTCGTCTAGGTCATCTGAGGAGGAGATTTCCGGATTAATTTGTTGGCAATGTATTTTAGTTAGTCGGTTTAACATACCTCCTTCTACCACCACCGTTGGCTTGGTATCTGGAGGCTCCTCATCCGCTGCCTGGTTGACTGGAAGACCCACCTCCACCTTGGGGCGTTTCCTACTAGGTCCAGGCAGATCGTAAGCTGGCCTGGTGCCCCTGCTCTTGGGGGCAATGGGACCTTCTTCCACAATCAAGGGCTGCTGCTTTAGCTCTTCCAAAGTGCTCGGTTTGGTATCCGCGCTTGTCCCAGCTGAGTCATCGGTCAGCCCGCCGATGCCCTCGGTCAGGGTCTTGAGGATCTCATAGTTGATCTTACTGGATATCTTCTTCTCTTGCAACATCTTTTCAATGGCTTCGCCGGCGGTTGACGAGGGGCCAATGACCTTTTTGCGCGGCTTGCGCTTCTTTCGCTCCGGTTTGCCCTCCTCACGCTCCTTAGCCAGCCGCTCGTCGCGTTCCTTCTGCTCGCGCAAATACTCGGCGTTAAGGTTCTTCCACATTTCCAGCTTGGCCACCGCCTCCTCCTCGGTCAGCACATACTGATCCAGTTCATCGTCATTCAGATCGTCGGTGACGAGTTCTTGTTCCTGGGGCTGCTTAGCCTTCTCCACATCCTCCAAATCGCTCTGAGTCACCCTGCACATTGCCTCGATATCCGGACGGAGGCCTTCAATCCCAGCCACCAAACCTCCCGGTTCTGCCTTCTTAACATCCTCGTTCTTGGCTATCAACTCCTTAATCACTTGTGCATTGGATTCTTCGATGAACTGCCTGGACTCCTCCAGTTCGAGATCTTTTTCAGAGGTGCCCTTGGGAGTGCTTGGAGAGCTGACTGGAGTGGCACCCTTTCCTTTGGTCAGCTGACGAAATACTGAGCTGGAGTACTTGCCAAGGTCCTTTTCCAGATGAGCATCGATTTCCTTCTGTAGCTCTGTGAGTTCATGCTCTCCCATCTATAAAAAAGGAGGATAGTTTTAATCACACTCAAAATACTTTACAGAAATACCTACATCTTTAATCCTCTCACGATCCTTTTTGCGGGCTGCTTTAAACGAAGGCGGGTCCTGTTCGCGCTCCAGGTCAACGGTCATGAACTCCTCCAAAGTCAGTCCCCCCGAGGGCGTCTCGGCAAACTCCGAGAGACGCTTGCGAAGCGTAGACTCGTGGATCTTGACCACACCTATCACGTCCAGCATGGTACGACTGAAATCGTGCATGCGGGCCGCAATCAGCAGAGCTTAAGGTCGAAAGTAATCCCCTATAACAGCGGTTTTTAATTTTGATTTCACGGTTCACTCACCTGCTCCGCAGAGGCCGGTGGGTCGACGTCCCGAGTGCATGCAATCCTTCTTCATGCGCTGCACAATCCTCAGGGCCGTCATTGAAACCTCATGCGTTTTGGCTCCCAGTTGCAGGCGATTTGCAAAACGCATGATGTACAAACATGGATCTGCAAGAAAAAGTAAATAAATAACCGTGGAGGTACGGAAATAAACTTAGGAAAATACCCTTGACGATTCATCTAAAATTAATTACAAATTAACAGGGAGATATTAACGAAATTAAGCCGAAAAGTATAGAAACGAATGAGCAAATACTGTGCATATAAATGGGGTTTTATTGAAATACTAATACAGGTTTTAAGGTTGGTATTCTGTGGCCTCAACAATGCAAATTAAACAAATCGACCAACATTTTAATGGTTCCTAATTACACTACACAATGTGTCATACAAGTCGGAAACCATATTAACTTTGGCTTATGGGTTAAAACGATTAAGAACCTGCATCAACATTTTTATAATTTTATGCGTAAACCCTCAGTCATCATATTGATAAAATCAAAAGATTTCAATAAAATTAACAAACTGCAAGACCATCCGCCGAAGAACTTGTTCGACGACCTTGAAGCCGGGTCGGTCTAGCCAATGAAACTGAAAACATTCAATAACCGGCCCACGTCTCCATGGACAGCTGCCGAAATAAACAATCTTGAACCCGAACTTCAGGTCCGATATTATTCAATTCATTCAACTTTTACATGGCAATGAGAGATGCAGAGAGTCGGATCGGGAGAGTGAGCAAACAGAAGACTTCGAAAGCCGAAGAGACGGCGATTTTCTAGCATGCGATAAGTTTTGTGCGCTCTGGATTTGGCCGAACATCACGCATCCGTCACGTAGTCCCGCCACAGGTTTTGGGCCATTCATTGGCCTATTAAACCGATAATTAGGCATATTTGAACTAGACGAAAGACGGGGCCAGCCAAGGAAACCCACTAGACAAGATCTGCAATTAACACTTGGCCCAGTCATTTCGGCCAAAGCAAAAGCAAAAACAAAAGCCAAAACGCAAACGCAAACAGCAATTAACGCACAACAAATACGTCTGAGAAAACAGTGCGAAACGCATTGGAAAATCAAAGCAAACAGACATACGACCTTGCCAAAGTTATTTGCCAATAGGTTTTTTTATATTATGCACTTAACTTGGGGCTTACAATTTGCCGACAAATTGGTCTGGGAAATGTGGACGAGGAGGAGGAAAATTGAAAACGACAAAGCAGATTTTCTTAGAGCTTCAGAGTGGTTCGAGTGGATGGTCACTTGACTTATACAATTACATTTACATAATTGTCCGAATAATTGTATAACTTAATGACTAAATAAATGGTAGACCATATCGGTTTTAATTATTCATATAAGTACAAGATAATATTTTTTATGCGAGACAAATAACCTTACATAATTTACGCTGAATAAAACAGACAAAAACTTAGAGAAATACGGTTTTTATTCACGGTTTAAAAATAACAACATTTAAACAGATTTCAAGAGCTTACAATAAAGTTTATTGCTTAACACGCTTTTAAAGATATTTTACAGAATATTTAACCCCGCTTTTCTTGCGTGGTTTTCTTTCGTGCCCAAACTCTAAAATTCATATTTTATGGTCCAAAGACCAATTGTTAATAAGACTTTCTGCAACTAACGTACAAATTTTTACCATGTATTCTTGTAATATTCCTCCATCACCCCTATCGCGGAGCTTAGCACATTATCCCGGAACTTACTGCTAATCCTCCGCCTTCCAACCCCCGAGTTGTTTGTTTGTGCAGCGCCACTTGACACACAAAGGCAGATGCTGTTAAACGTCAACCCCTGCTGGCCGAGTTAAGGGGGCGGACGCGGGGCGGGGATGCTTGTCAAAGTCTCGCCAACTGTACTCCACAAACAAATCAAAAAAAAAAGAACTCCGCAAAAGAGGAAAAAATTATTTATTAAACCCTAATGAATGGGCACATTTATGGAGGCGCAGTAGCAGCCGTCCTCAAACTCCGGCGCCCCCTAATATCCCCCCTTACCCACCGCCCCTTCCCTTTTGTTCCTACTGCCGTTAAGTGCTCCACTTGAAAAATGATGCCGCTGATGCGGTGACTGCGAACTGCGAACTGCGATCGGAAACTGTGACTGCATTGACCCTTCAGCATAGCGCCCACTCATCTGCCACAGCTGTTACCCGAACTGCTGCTGATGCCGCTATAACTGTTACTGCTACACTCAGGAAAATATGTTTTTTAATTTACTTAATTATTTGCAGGAGCTGATTCTGATTCTAATTCGTTTGGATCGCAGGATATCTCTGGTAAAATTCTTGGTTGAGTGAAGTTTAAATCTCCGAAGTTTAAAAATTTGTAAATTATTCTATCTAGTTTGTTTTAGGTTGAAAAACTTACTCTTAAAGATAGTTATTTTTTTCAATTTTGGACCTTGATCTTTGAATTCTTAAAAAAAGCACAATATTTTGTAAAAAGCTTTTTTAACAAAATCCACTCAAGAAAGTGGCTTTTTGAACCATTTATAATTTTAGATTTTTTTGAGGGTTAAATTAATTTTTTTTTGCACATATTTTTATTTTTATACTATTTTTGGCTAGTTTTTTGTAGTGTGCTGCTACTTGACAGTTGCCAGCACGGCTGCTGCTAATGGTTTCTTAATGTAGCCCGCCTCCTCCTCGCGGCCACTCCATCCAATACTGCGCATTCTGCAACTGCAGCTAGTGAAATTATTATTGTTTAAACTTTATTTTTGCGTTTGTCATGACGGCAATTATCATTTTGGGTCCACCCTCCTCCTTCGTCGCCTCTGATTACTCTGCATTTAGCAAAAAATAACAGGCAATTTGGTTTGAGTTCCCCCAAAACACTAGCAATTAACTGCGTTTTGCTGCTTTAATTGTTTTGTAATCGACCGAGAACGCGAGATTAATGAGGAAATGCAATCTGAGAAAATGTCGCGTACAAGAGTCGTGCAAACAACAGCTTAGCATTAAAATTGGTTGGCACTCAATAAAAATAAAAACCAAATCGTGCCATTTATCGCATGCAATAAATGCCGATCTCAGTCTCAAGGCGACCGCGAAAAACCGAAGCTAAATCCATTTAGTCGATCGTGGTCGATCGGGTTGCGAGTCTCGAGTCTCGAGTTGCCGGTTTGGAATCTCACTTGAAAAATTAGTATCTCACTACGAATTCGTTCGTTGACTCGCGCAGTCGCAGCCGCAACTCGAAAAATTAATCGAAATTTAAAAACGTGGCCGGTCGTCGCGCATGCGCAAACCAAAAAAAAAAGAAAGAAAAAAAGAAGCTCCCAAGAAAAAATTCCCTCCACACATGTAAAGCCCATTTCATCAGTTTTCTGCGGTTTGCCGTCCATCCCAAGAAATTACAAAAGTGTGTATTTGTCTGATTGCTTGTTAAAATAATAATAATCGTTGACAAAGTGCGCGTACCTCGTTTGTTTGTTCTTCTGTTGACGTTTTAATTTATGTGCAGTTTTGTTTTTTTCATTTTCTCAACACTCAGCTGACAGCTTTGCGATGCCGGTTGAGCGTGAAAAAAAAAACAACTAAAGAAAATTGCTTAGAGTGAAGTGCAAATATAATAGAGAGGCGAAGAAAAAATCCCCAAAAAATCCACATATATAATTGTTTCTAATGATTATGGATCTGATTTGCCCCCAAACACTGTCTCTCACCTGTCTAAAATATTCCCTATTTTTCGACTTGAGTCACGCGTTTATTACCGAGAGAAGATAAATAATTTTAGCTTCGGACGAACAGTTGTTGTGTATAATTAATTGTTCTACTATTTAGCACATTAAGTGTATTAAGTAATCAGCAAATTAAAGCTTAATAAAATGCTTGAAACCTATTGAATTAATGGATCCCTAATGATTGACGCCCCAAAGTTAAAAAATAAACAATTGAGATCTCAATCAAGGCTGAAGTCTCTTATCACTATGAAATAAGTAGTCCCGCCGTGTAATTATCCGTTAGCTGCACTCCTGGTTAATTACCGAGCATTTGGTTGTAATTTACTGCTCATAACTATGATTTGTGTTTAGAGGCGCTGCTTTTAATGACAGCCCTTCCAGTGTTTGTACTCCCCGAGGTTTAAATTTTTCAAAATACTGAAATTTCCCGGTCAGCCAAAGTCCCACACCGTTTCGTGTTTGTATTTCAAAACAAGGTAAACTTTAGGAAAAAACTAAAAAAAAAAAAGCCCCACCTTTCGGTAGAGGAGAGAAAAAGCTGGCTATACAAACAAAACACAAGAGGAATACTTTTTTCACTCTAGACATCGAATTCGCATTTAGAATTCCACTCAAGAATCGCGCAAGCTGGAGGCATGAATACTTAAGTATTAAGTAACTTGATGACAATTTATAATCTTTAACTAATATACGTGCAGAAAAGGAAACGAAAACGGGTTTCGGCATAAACCGAAATACAGCAATAAATATTTGACAAAGAACGTGTCACAATAACCACAGAGACAGATTTAGAATTTAGCAAATCACTCCGAGTCGAAAGAGCACTCAATGGGGGATTTTTCTGGGCCATAAAGAATCGAATGCAAACAAGAAAACTTACAGATTGTAAAAAAATGTTAATTCGTCGAGTCATTAGACAAAATGCAACATGACTTACCAAATAATCCCATTAAAAATGAAAAGTGAGTGAGAAAAACTGCATGTTAATGTCTATAAAATTATCTGCAAATTAAAGCGTCTAAATCAAAGACGCTGGCTGAAAAGTTGAAAAGCTGATAGACTGAAAAACTGAAAGACGGAGCCACCAACCGACAGCTGACGGTCTGAATAATTGCGAAACAACCTAAGGGCACTCGAAGCGAGGTCCGAACTCACATGAAAACACCTCAAACAAAAGTCGAGAGTCTCAAGCAAATGGAACTCCGACTGTGAAGCTTGACGAGAATTAGATACTCTGGTCCAGAAATCTTGCTAAATGAGACACTAAGCGTAGCGAATGCAAATATATTCATAGGCCGACGTAGAACCTTCGTTCCAGCTAAATAATTACTCAATATAATTATTTTCCATTAGGGAGTATCTTGCCGAAAGCTTTCCATCCGAAATACTATATGGAA